AGAACGTAATCAACCAGGTGGGGTGTTGACTGTTGTGTTAGCCGACTCTCTGCGTTGTATTGCATTATATTTCTAAGTTTACGAGATTTGTTTTATCATTAATTCTTACCTGATGATGGTAGCTTGTGTTGCAATCGAAACGACGCATTCTATTATTATTTCATTTTATTTTCTACGTGACTTTACCGAAAGGACCAAAGAGTAATTGCCAAAGACTGTTTGCTATGAGGTAGATGTTCTTGATTTTTCACTGCAGTGCTCTCCGATTTTGTGTGCAAAAACTGAAATGTGCAGCCTGTATTTCTCTGCGTGGACTGCGTCATATTTTCACTAAGTAATATAAAATAAAATACATTTCCTGTTAAAAATCACTATTTAAACGTCTTATTGGACATGTACTTTAGGGTTTTTATTTTTTAAACAAGGGCAAACAAGTTGTCTGTTAGCCTTGGGAAGGTGAGGAAAGATTCCCAAAAGCGAAGGTTTAAATTTTTAATGTTCTATTAAACACACTGGCTAAAGGTGCATTGTGCGCATGGTTGCCAGTAAAAGTTGAATCAGATACTATAGACCAGCATAGACGCATTACAAATTTATAGGTTGAAATGCAAAATTGCTCTTACTTGCAGCAATAGTTCATGACCTCTTTGTGTTAACGCGGTGGGCTGCGTGATATAAACTTGAAAGACTTATGTTTCTTAAATGTTTTACAAAACACTTCCACAAGATGCGAGTAAGAGCATATTTTGTTTTACACCCACATGATGCTAAGCGGACCATCCAACACTACACTTTCATTCATGCAAATTGCATCTCACAACAGCTGAGGAATTGCAGACGAGCTGGAAGGCAGCCAGGTGGTGGGCTAGCGTCAACGATTTCCCAAGCTCTGTAGTCCTCTATATACTAAGATGTATTTCGGGCCAATTAATGTGTTCATACATATGAGTGGAAACCCCGGGCTCCCGGAGAAAATCCATGTGTGTGAGGGGGCAACACTGTATCTCTTATAGAATGGACAGATGATATTAGTATGCACCTTTCTACACCTACTTCTCCTGGCGAGCCAGGTTATGGCATCTCATCGACATCCATGGAAAGGGAGTTTAGGAACGTTGTGCAATCCACCAACCATCGCCTCCACAGCACGGGATTACAGGCGTGCGTCATCACTACCCAGCAATACATTGGATTGCTCAAATAACTTCTAAAAAAAGGCCGTTGCAGAATAGGTATATCAAAGGGAATTCATTATATCTCCTGTGTTCTCTGAAGCCATTTTTATTTGTCATTGTGTTTTTGTAAGTAAATAAACATTGTGCTTTTGTAAATTATTGGCAGAATCCTTTTTGTAAATCTATTTACAAATTTCATATCAAATTCCCGCTCAAAAAGAGTATTTCAAATTGACTTTTTAAACAAAACAATATATGTTTGCAATCACACAACAGCAGATGTGAATTTTGTCAATAGTTAAGAGTGAGAAATATCCCCGTGTCCTGGCCCCATCTAATGAGAGAAAGCTTTATACTTGTCAGATGAAGCTTGTCATCGCCCTTTGATGAGCGATACAGAATATTCTGGGAGTGAAAGGCCTCTGGTGAGTTATGCGCAGAAAAAAACTCGGACGGCCCCTCCAAAAATAAACCAGTGATGCAGTACGATAGAACGTAATTTTGGCACAGGCAGCAGACTTCACGTTTCCTTAAATTTTACGAGCAAGGAATACAATTTATGACAGCATGTGTGTGTACGAACCATACGGCGCATGGCCTAAAGATATGGCGCAAAACAAGTGATATTACAACGCGGTTCTCATTGGAATTGACCACGTCAATGAATGGGTGGGAAAACAGATAAATAAACTCAACCATTTTTTTCTCAACTCCTTTATCCCGTTTCCGGCAAACATCATGGAAGCGACTGGTGGGAAATAACACAAGCAAATAGGAAGGATTTAATCCCGGACCAATTATAAGATCACACTCATCATCTTCCCTATCCTCCAAGGAATCACTCATCTCACTCTACTTCCAGAAACCGTCCCAGCCTACTGCTCCTCTCTCATTGCGCATCTCCTCCCTTCCGTCCGCTGTCCGCTCCAGCCACCAAAGCTGGCAATCGAAGCCACCAGACAATCTTCACGTGGGTCCCAGAGTTTGCAACTCCCTCACCCTCCGTTTAGCACGGTGCGAAAGATGTTCAACATACATACATGCTTACTCCTAAAGTGTCGGACCTAATGCCTTCCTGTTTTCCTCCGCCTATGAATGACTGCCTCAATCACATAAATATGCTGTTTATGAGCAGCGGCTTGGGATGCGGTTGTATTTAGACGCCGCTATCTAAAATGCAAACTGTAGTTTACGGTGTAATAATGTTGTATTTTGTAAGTCATGGGCTGCTCCTTCTCTGGGTAATAAAGGTGCAACGCTAAAATAAATGGCTCACGCCACTGCTGGACAAAGGGACTCCGCTAGCAGGCATTTGGTCTGCTCCTCCACACTGGCTAGACGTCCTGAAAGAGGTGGTAGTACCCGCACTAATGTACACACGCGACCCGCCGAACAAACTAATCTTGGTGCACCCATACATATGCTGGGTGGACAGAGGCGGATGGATTTAAGAAACTTGGATATTGCTCCAACTTGCCGCGCTGGAAAATAGAACCGGCGACCTCTGCTGCTTTGCGTTATAATTAAATGGCTGTTAATGGTACTCGGCACAGTGCGCATAGAACATTGTTCAATTAATTTGTACAAATTAAGTATAACACCTCCGGCCACCTAGCAAAGCTGCATCAGCTGCCTTGCGCGTCACACTGGCCATCGGTAATGACCGACCTTTATAGCACTGGAAACGGATTACCGCTCTTAATTCACTCTACTGGGTCGCACCTGCACACGTGTCCTGGATTTGCGAGTCTCAGAGTTGATAACGTGTTCTACTTCAAATTAAACCCGCTGCGCTTCGATCTCCGCCCGTGCATGATTTAAGGGTTGGCTGGTGAATAGTAATGAGTCTATTTGTCCCATCTGCGAGTCGAGGCTCGGTGTGGTTTCTTGAACTGGTTGAAGCAGATTCCACCCCCCAGATCGATTTATCGAAATTTGTGGCAAAAAAACAACAGTTCCTTGTAGAATAACAAAAACACAAATAGCAGGCACCGTTGAACATATTGGAAGTAATGCTGACTCGCACTAGAAGGTATGAAAGCGTCAATAATATGCCATGTGTTAAGTTTTATAAGTGGTCAACGTTAGCTCGTGTCGATGGATCAAGGAGCTATGAGAACTGTTTTAACAACACGAGAAAGAGGAGCGGATGGGCAGTGGTTGACTCACTGCGCTATAAACCATGTCGCCTGGGTTGGATTCCAGGCCACGGCTAACACCAGCAGCGAATGATAGACTAATTTGTCGCGACATGGGGCCACTCTTCGCCATCCCACACTGAACAGGCGCTGGTCACACAAACTCGGTGACAGCTACGCCGTGGAAAGGCTTTCATCAAGCGGTGGATTGATGAAGGGCTGTAAACAATTTCCATTTTAACAACGCGAACATTCACTGGGCTGCACTGCGTGGTCACGCACATCAAGATTAGGTGAACTGCTGACGCGGCTGTTTATGAGATCGATTTGAAAGTTGTGCAAACGCAAGCAATTGCTCACTTCGTAAAAGTTCAGATGAGACCGCGAGGCTACACGCACAGGCAGAGCAATTAATGGCACAGTGTAATACATTATTGCACGCTTAATTGCATTCTGTAATTTGATAGCAGAAAACTCACGACAAAATGGTTATACTTAGATGGCGCTTTAGGAGGGGGTAACAGACACCGGGGTATAGCATGCACCATACTGTCGTTGCAGTTGTCACGCCTTCTTATATTATCTCATCACTGATGGCCACGATAATAAGTGACTTGACATTCGCATAGGTTTTGCAGAGCTCGAGATGCCAACTGCACGGCTTAGCACACTCGACCATGTTTTTGGTAAACACGCGTTGCGGCTAATAGCGATTCGCTTTCAGTAAGCCAAAGTAAAATTTTGATTTAAAGCTTTCGTGACTGCAGGGATTAATATTCTTGGTTCTTTCGGTAAAGTCACGTAGAAGGGAAACAATAAAATAATAAAAATATGAAACAATAAAATTATCACGACGTTTCGACTGCAACACAAGCAATCATCATCAGGTGTGAAAATTTGAAAATGTTCTTGCTGTGGTTTTCACACCTGATGATGATTGCTTGTGTTGCAGTCGAAACGTCGTGATAATGTTATTGTTTTATATTTTTATTATTTTATTGTTTCCCTTCTACGTGACTTTACCGAAAGAACCAAGAATATAAACCAAAGTTACTACAACACTCTAATGCAGTCCGTGGAGTAGTGCGTTTGAGGCGCATCAAACGCTCGGTGCCCACGCGTATCGCATCTTCTATGAACACGCGAGTGTCCCGGTGGCGGCGAGTGGCCGGGACGTTCCTTGTGCAAGACGAAACTTGCGGCGCAATGCATCGCGCCGCCTGTCCGCCCCAATGATGCGTTACGAGCCCGCTTCAAAGTGACTTAACAGCATCGTGTGGGGCTAAGCAAGGTCAGGCGACGTATATCATTTGAAACTGAATAGAAATGTATTTTAACTGGGGCAATTAAAGGTACAAGAAGCCAGCGAATTGATCGTAATGGCAATTTGAACAATCGGATGCAACTGAAAGTATCTAACGCAAAGTTATTGAGCTAAAGGGAAGGAAGGCCATGATCGCCGACGTATTTGAGAGAGAGCATGGCACATAGAGAGAGATTATTTTAGCTGGGACACTCACGAATCCCGTTGTAACTTTCGTGCACTCGAGACGCACACACACACACCCGCGTAAATTCACCAAGCGCGTCAGATGTATCTGCCGCACAGGATCTGTGTGCGACGTAGGGCGACAACGAATTAAACAAGCGATCGAGATCACAAAATAGCAGCCACACGTTGACATACCCGTGTAGCCCTTGGCGGAAAGAGGTGCCAGGAAGACAGCGACCACTATTAAAGGAATCAGCCCCATGTCTCGTCGTCGCAGGGTGCCCCTAACGCGTGTGAAGGGACGCCCGACTCTGCTTTGCCCGCTCCGACTCGGCGCAGAGCCGCCTCCGCTGTCGACTCCGAGCCGCTCCACAGAGGGTGCGTAATACTATAGTGGGTAGAGAGATAGCAGGGAGGTGGAGCTCAGCCGTGGACGGGAGAGCAACCGTGAGGGGAGCGGTCCGCGCTGCCGCCGGCCAAAGTGAGAGTGGCGCTGCTACGTGCGGGTCCCGGTGAGATTCCCGCGGCTCCAGTGTGCGCCCAGTCGCTCTTTACACCCCTCCTCCTCCTCCTCAGCTCCCCTCCCCTTCCCCCACAGCCACCCGTCCTGACAATCCCTCCCCCCTCTGCTTCAACACCAACCCGTAATCTTAACCTAACTCCTCCTCACCACCACCCTCCCCCCTCCCTCTCCCCAACACCCAATCGAGACCACCTTTCCTTTCTTTCGCGTAAAGCACCCAGTAAATAAACAGTGTCGCGGTCGTAAAGCACAGCAGTAGTAGCTCTCCCTTATTGCTTAATATTATTATTTCTCGTGGGATTTTTAGATTTACAGAGGAAGCGGGGGATGATGTTTCCTCCTGTTTGTGTAAGGCGGCGCACAAAGACGCGAACGCTCCGGTGCACGCGAAGGTAGAGTGACTCCGCAACGTTGTGCACGCGCGTGTGCACGTCCATAACGCAGCGCGTAGCGCGGGCGCGCTCTCAGCACCCGTGACGGTTCGCGGTCTGCGCGCGTCGTTACACGTGGACCCCCGATTGGAGCGGTGCAAGGCGCAGCGTTAGTAATTGCAAAACGCCGGCTGTGTTCATCGACTGCAGGAGCGCCAAACACGCGGCGAACATTTATCTTTTGCCGAGGTGGACGAAAATCGATATTTTTTGTAAACGCTGCAGCAGACGCAGATTTAATGGAGAACACAATATCCCGCGTAGCCGAGAGGCTCCCCGTATGACCGTCAACGTGCGAAACAGCCTGGCCGACACACGTGCGTGGAGAGTGGCGCGCAAAGTGATACGCGAGAAAATTACGAACGGTCCGGTTGCCTCGTGTCGTGCCCAGAATTGATTATTTGCGGACGAAAAAGAGGGAAACGAACGATGAGTCCATTGCGCCCAAAGTGGACGAAAACCACGGTGGACAACCAGAGGTCCAAGTGCTTTATGTGTAGCTCTTATAAGCGCCGTAATACACAGACAATGACAGGCGTACAAATAGTAAAAAAAAAGCCTGTCGCGCTGCTGTGTGACACGGATGTGCCTGTCGTCGAAGTTCACTAGATTTTCGTAGCACGGGACAAACGCGTTCAACAACACAGCAGCACTGCGCTGCTGTGCTGCGTCCAGATTCCAGGCGGCGGCGCAAAGGAGTGCGTATTCAGCACCACGGACAGCGGCAGTTATAACGATGCACGGCAACAGCTCCCGTAGCGAGCTTCTGGGACAATAAAAATAGAAAATCCATTATGCAGATTCCAATTCTGTGCAATGCTCTTACATACATCATTGGCTGCATTTCAACAGGAGCTGTCAGAGGCTGAACTCCGGAAAATATGGGGGGTGTGGGGAGACCCGGAAGATATATCCATGAAATATGAAGCCATGCATTAATGCCTGCCTAAAACCTAATCCTGAATATAAGCGAAGACAATGATAATGATGATGTCAATATAATAACAATAACGATTTTCCTGTTTCTGATCCTGCTGATAATGACGATTATTAAAATTGTGCAGAAGATGTAACGTTCGCAGGAAAGCCTCACTGAATCATACCACTTGTTTTAAGAGGGTTTTTTCATGTGGGTAGATATCGGAGTATTCAAAGAAAATGCACACTTAGAGGGGATAATAATCAAACGTCTGCAAACATATATTCAAGCATCCACTTGCTGTACTGTATTCTCGCAGACCGTTATAACAAACTACAATTTGGATTGATATGGCATATAAATGCGACCGCATCTCAAGATGCTGTACGAAAACAGTGGGCATGCATTTGAAGCTAATCTATCATAGGCACGATTAATCAGACCAGAAACTATTAAATTCGTTTTGCGGAATATCCTGCTGACACCAGAATTTCACAAAAGCGTGAAAACAAATTCCAGACTAATCAAGCCCTAAGTGTCTCCACACTCAAATAGTGGTTGTGGCGCCACTCATTGTCATTTGGGGTTCTGAACCAGTGTTGGAAATTCCACATCCATGATGTTGGGCCAGTAAGGTATTTGTACGATTTTGTACAATAATAATATCATCATCAGTCATAATCAATCAACCGCTGGATGAAGGCCTCCCAGAGCCGTCGCCACCTCTCATGATCCCGTGATGACACAACCCACCTAGCGCCCACAAACGAGCTGATTTCATCACTCCAGCTCCACGGCGAACGGACGCTGCTTTGACCCCAACTGCTTCGTTTTTCTCCTCAACGGGTCATCATCCCTTCTAGCGATGTGTTCTGCGAAAGCTCATTTTTCTCAACGGTCGATATAACATCTGTAACACGTATGTTTGTGGTGTGTCCTCTTTGCCATATGTTCCTGTTTTTGTCGCAGTGTAATTCTACACATGGTTCTCTCCATGCTCCTTACACGCGTTTGACATTTTATTATACCTTCTTCATCAGTGTCCTGGATTCTGAGCTAAATGTCAAAACAGGTTATAAGCACTGATTAATAACGTTATGCTTTAGATACAGTAAATTGTCACTGCGCATTATCAAGTTTCCTTTAAATTACCTTACCTATAACTCTGAAGGTCAGCTGCTCTATCTTATATCCGAAAAAAAATGCAGTTTAATAAGTGCAAAGCGGTAGTCATACTTGTTTGATCCGTATTGCATAACGTTTACAATATACCAAGGCCGTAGTAATTATAATATATATTGGGGAGGATGCATCCCCCCCCCCATATTTAAATACGCTCAAAATGCCCCCCCCCCCCAATATATTTCTATAAAATAGATTTCTGTTCATATGAGTCTGGTTATGGTTGTATTTTATTAATACCTAATCTCAAACATTACATACAATGAAACAAGAAAAGGTTGAAAAGAAAAAAACAGAGCAATGTAATACAATACACTATTAGACATTGTTGTAAAAAATAAATAAAAAGTCCATCCTATGTGTTAGTGAATTTTTTAATATCTTAGGCAGGAAATGGCAGTAAATGAGTTTTCAAATTTAGATTTTTTTTTTCTGGGGGGGGAGGGACCCCCAGACCCCCTGGAAGATTTGGTCCCCCCCAATGTTGATTCCTTGGCTACGACCTTGCAATATACCATAGGTATGAAAGCAACACTTCTATTAACTGTCTCTTGAAATGTACCTCTGTAACACCTGTTACATTCCGCGGGGATTTCGATTAAGAGTGTGCGACAGCTGAACTCATTCAATTAAAACGATAACTATAACAGATCGTCAACTAAAATCTTATTTACAACTCAAACCATGCGGCTTGTTTTCTAAGCTTAGAAAATCAATCACGTCACCGCGGGTGTTCTCCTTTTTCCAGCAACCAACAGCTCCATTACTCCTTCTGGTGCCATCCTGCCTAAGAGGCACACCCGCTGTAGCTGTCGTGTGTGTCCGGACACCCCCAACATTTTTTAGACACAGCTTAGAGACGCCCCCAACATTTAAGACATGTTTAGTTTTTGAGTCCGTGTTTTTATTTATTCAACAAGTTAACTGACATCAATGCTGATTATCCTGATGACAGACCCCTTAAAATACACACGAGCACACAAACAGTAGGCTCAAAAGGCAGTAGTTGCGTAGATATAACAGCAATAGTACAGTATAACTTTTCTAATCCGTGGCCAAGTGGGAGCGAACTTCGCTGATCCTATGTGTAATATAACCAATAACCACCAGGAACCATTCGCCAGGAGGGACACCCCCGACTTCCAAAGTGTGGCTGCGCCTTGCTCCTGCCCCATGACTTCTTACTCGTCTGGATGGCTTGATGTGGCGGCGAGTGAATAGTTTGATTTATCTAAAGGTCACGCGGTGTGATGCGGCCCCATCTCAGCACTAATTGGGAGCTAATAGCCGGTCTTCCGTTCAGCCGGTGAAGGCAACATAGGGCGAAAGAAAAGGAGGGCGGCGCGTTGGTGACGGGAGGAGACAGGAGACGATTGTGATGAATTGATGGATCCCGCGACGCGCCCACCCAACATCCAAAGCCGTGTGACATTTTGGCAGAATAGAAATAGAGGCAATTTTTTGTATCAGTGGAGCACCCACCCCTATCACCAGAAAATGGCCTCCTCCATCTATCCATCCATCCTGTGACGCTTCAATGCAGCGTCAGGATTTATAACATGTTTCTAAACTTTAACGGCTAAATGCGTATTCCGGGCATGCTCGGAATATTATACCGATAAATAAAGAGGAACAAATGCATTAAAAGACACATCCAAGTTAGAGACATCGTATTCACTGTTAAACAAAGTGGGTGGCTAGGGCCCAGGCACTTTGCAAGCGGGTTCGTGAACCTGTGTAAACCCTTTAGTGGCACGCCCTCACATGAGTGGGTATGCTCCAGGTATGCCGGTTTCCTCTCCCATGAAAACACTCGTTGAAGAGGGTCTGATTAATGTCGAGGTGTTTCACACGTTTGTAGAATCACCGCGTTATCAGGTGAAGTGGTGGAGGTGGGGGCGCCCAGAACTGGTTCAGACGTTACTTGCCACTGATGTTAGCCGTGGCCGAGATTCAAACTTTTGTCGCCATGTTCGCGGCGCAGTGCTGCATTGACTCATGTTAATACCATGTGAGGCTGTACCGGAACACGCCTTCCCATGCATACGTGTGTGTGCGTGTGTCTTTGTCTTTACTCGCAAGCAGCACTTGCCCCAAAAGTCTGTTGAGGGATGTGACCTAATTCACTAATTTCTCTATTGTGATAACTTTTTTGTTGTTGTTTGTGCCTTTTGTTTTGGTGCCATTTATTTATTTTTAATGTTGCTTGCGAGTAGGGTTTTCACTTGCTACGCAGTAGCTGTATATCGTATTTGGTGCTTACATATAATTAATCAACATCCTTATGGGATGCAATTAGCATAAATTAAGCAATATAGCATTTAAGTATTATTATAAGTATATACGAGATGTTTATCTTGTCTTTGCCTTTTGGGGGCCGGTAGAGTAGCGGTTAGCATGCTGCACTTCTAACCCGGTCAACACAAGTGACGATTATCTGAACCAGTTCTAGGCCTACCTTAGGTCGACTCAGCCTCAAATGAGTACCTGGTGCAATGTGTAAACATCGCCACTCCG